CACATTCCAGTACCACCATCAGCTTGTCTGGTTTTTTGGGGTTCAACACGGGATGATGGGGTAAATACCACCGGGAACGATAGTCCGACTTTAGATGCAACTCATGCACCCTTTGCACATACCCTTTAGAGACATTATCTTCCATACATTTAGCGTACCTGTTACGTGACCTATTGTCTGTCATCAATCTTCGCTTCAAACTCTGTAGCCTATTACTAGCTACCTCATAATTAGTCCCTTCTGAAGAGGAGTCCTGTTTTCATGGTGTCGGAACCACAAAGTGGCCATCGACGATATATGTACCTCCCTCAACGATCTCAAGAGCTATCTGGTTTTCTACAGGCACTGACTTGTCACTGGAATAGACATCAGCAAATTCCACATCATACAGTTTACGTATCTGGTCCTCCAAAACTTGCACGCTACTAATATGGTTAACAACTCTTTTTCTATATTCCGGGTATGATGTAGGTCCAAATACAGTCCATCCGAGTAGTGTTTTTACCGCATACGGCGCCTTCCTCCCACCTAGCCGCTGCTTTAACACCCAATGTGCTTCTGGCACGTCACAACCGAAGAGCATTAAAACGTCTTCAGAGTCTAAACTTTCAACAGGTACATCTTTTAAGTGCGGCCAATTATTTAGGTTTTTAATTACTGACATCGTGGGCTTATGTCTCGGTAGGCTAGATAAGATCATCGCCCCTTCGATCACGATATGTTCCAACTGATCTAAAGAATGCACTTCGAAAGTGACATTCGCACTTCCTGCCGTTTTGTCACCACCTACAGTCTGTACTACAACTAACTCACAGTTTTCCGGCAACCCAAGCGCTTTTACACAAGCTGACGTTATCAATGTAGAATCAGAGCCGTTATCCAAAAGAGCATATCCTATTATCTCGGCTTTTCCGATCTCACACGTACTGGGATCAGTCCTAAACATACCTGACTGCTTAGTGACCTAGTAAGTCCGCAACGATGCTGAGAATCACGTTTATCATCCAACCTTTTGATGGTCGAGTCCTCATGCAACAGAACATGATGTTTTTTCTCGCACTTATCGATACTACAGGTCATTGTCATTTTACAGTCACTAGCCTTATGTCCTTGCTTCAGACAGATGAAACACATCCCCTTTTTTCTAACTTGATTCAATCTGTCTTGAACAGTAAGCTCTAAATACTGGGGGCATTTAGTAACCAAGTGATCACCAGTAAAAATGCTACAACCATGTCTTATATTCGGTATGTTTGCTTGTTTTGATTGAAGGTGACAGCTCATCTTCACATCTCGACCTATTTTTTGTCGATTAGCCAGCCGACCGAATCTACTACCAGCTATTCTTGCTCGAGATAATATAAACTCAGTAAGTTCAGTAAAAGTAGGCTCTCAATCTTCTTCAATCCTTCTTATGGATAGTTCCGCCAACTGAACTTGCATAGACCGGGGTAAATTCTTAACTATTCGCTCCAAATTTACTATGGAATTAATTTCAGCTGTACAATTTAACTGTTCCAAGGTTAGAGCAACGTTCTGCATTTTAATTGCCAAATTCGTCAGTTTTTCCGGATCATTGTAGTCCGCATTCCCTGTTCTAAGCAAGTCATCCAGAGTTTCAAGAGCTATTACATGCGATTGTCCGAAGAGCTGCTTTAAAATGGCCTTACCTCTTTTATATCGCACTTGGGGTTCAATTATAAGGCAACCTTCAATCGCATTTCTTGCCTTTCCCTTACAGTAAAGAATTAAATATAATAAACGCAGATTATCATCCCTTACTCTGGGCTGTATAAACGTTTCGAACTGTCTTACAATTCTAAAGTAATCTCAGTGTTTGCCGTCGAAGATTGGGAGTTCAACCTTTGATAATTCCAAGCCTACTACCGGTGTCCTAAACATCAATTCAACGGGAAATAAATAACAAATACGAAATATAAACTTTCCAACGGTAAATCTCCGTCAATGAAAATCCAAAAAAATCAGAATATAACGATCTTCTGATTGATCGAAAAAAACAAGTAATCCAAAGTTCTTCTTCCAGGAAGTTTAATATAGTAAACGATGAAAATTCCAAATATTTCCTTGTTCTTCTTAATAGTTATACTAAAGATGAATTTTCTTCCCTAGCAGTTCACTCTGGTTCATTTAGGTGTAGGTTGAACGCGCTGTTTCGAATTCAATATCAAAAACACAATAATTCTAGGAGAAAGCGGTCTATTTTCATTGAAAGATTGAAATACAAACAGTTACCTAATTATGCATGCAACGTCTTCTTCACAATTACAGATATGGGTATCCGATTCGAAAGAAATAAGTGGTACCAGGTCTTACTGCAACGAAAAAAAATCCAAATATGGCTGTAGTCATAATAAATATCAAATTTTGATAGATGATTTCAGGCATTGTATAGTTCAGCTCAGTGTAAAATAATAAGAAATTATTTCTATCTACACAGTTAAAAGGAAACAAGTACAAATACTCACCTCAATATCTGGTCTTTATTCTTGGTCAAATATCTACTTTTTCCATTCTTTCAGAAGTCCACTGTAGACAGGTAATTTGTTTCTCGATTTCATGTGTCCTATCTTCTAATTCTATTTCTTAACGTTCTGTTTGATCTTTGTATAATTCTTTGTCATTATCTAAACGTGTTGAAGATTATTCCAGTTTCTATAACATTTGTTGATGGTTTACAAACTGGAATATGATCTAAGCTTTGAAGTAAACTTACCTATCACTATAAACAATGAACAGTAGAAGCTGTAGTGTGTACAATTGAGAGAGTGAATCAGTTCCTGAATCCTTTTTATCGAATTTGTTTTTGACTAACCTTCAGTATTCGATCAACCCTAACTCAATGAATTTTCTGATGATTGATGACGCTGTAATACTGATAATTTTGAAGTTTCCAGATGACAGTTTCCCAAGAATTACAGATGGCTTTTAATTGATTGATGTGCCGTTGCAACAGCTAACCCCTTATTCGTCTAACTCCCGGATTATAACGTAACTTCATAATAATACTAGCAATCTCTAATCGCGATGTGATTTAATCTGAACCCAGTCGCTTTAGAACTCTGTGCTTACTAACAAAAACCGATCATACAGCTTCGAAGAATTATATTGTGCAGAATAGAACTTTCTTCCCCTAATTCTTTTCATTTTTATTGATTGAACTAATTCAGTATAATGTAGTCTTAAACTTCTTGTAGTTTGTGCATCAGAAGTTCACAACTGTTCAAATCGCTATCATGGACCAAATATAAATTCAAAGAAACCTTTTTGTTTCTTGTTTCATGAGTGAAATATTACACATTTTCAAATTACTTAAATGAAATGAACAACTCACTTTGCTTATTGTCAACTTTATTGAGTTTCTCTTGTGTACTGATTATTCTAATACAGGAAAGATGATCAAATTTCAGTGATATTTGAGTAACTTGTATAAAGTTTTAGTTGATGAACTATTAATACACCTGAAGCATCATTTTAAAAATCTCTGGTCATTACGATTTATGATTTTTATTCATGTAGAAACCAATTAATGAAAGTGTTTGATCAACTTGACTCACATATCTTCTATTGGATTTGTGGCACAGCTTCTTGATGAATTCTGTACACTTTCATACTCATCAACTGCACCGTCACCACTGCAGACTGAGCCACTAGATGCTGAACATATTTTTGATCAGCATTTTGTTCTATCTGGAGATATTGGTTCAGAACTAATGAGCGTAGGTGTTGGTCTACAACTGATTTTTACCGACTTCGTTGATGAATGTAAGCCGCTATTGCGTTGTTTTTCTCCACTGACAACAGCAAAACTATTAACAAGTATGCCTCAAGTAGACATCATTACCCGTGCTTGTTCATTTATTGTCACATCACATTTTAGACGATCTAGTGACTCGTTCGTTGCAAGCGTTACTAATTTTTTAGCCAGACAAGCCTGTGGAGTTAAAAATGCTTAAGAAATACATTACATTTTCAGTCGAAACAATATAAAACATAACATCACATTCAACTGTTGCCAATCAAACACAGTTACGATGACCAATCGATATTCTGTGCAAATAATTATGCTACGATTTGTATAAAGTTTCACAAAGTTAAGTATATTTTAGAGTGTTGATACTATAACCTATTGATAAATTGGCAGTAGTGCATTCACAACACATCAATTTTGAATTCCTCATAATTTTATTGATTAGCAACATTACGCAGATTAAATCCTACTTAGATTTTACAATTTCACCGTATCATCAGAAACTACAGCAAGCATCGTACCTATGTACACCCGTTCATGTTGCCACTCTATACTACCAGATAAAATATGATTCAGAGCGAGAAGAAAAATTATTTTAAATGAAAAGCGATAAAGGATTTATAAATACCATGTATAACAAATAGCTTTTAATTTAATGATATTCCGTTGCTTTACCCATTCTAGCATTTCGAAGATTGGCTTTCAGAATTGTTCTTGAATGTATCTATTTCTGGACATATTCGAGCAACTCAATATCACCTAAACAAGAGGAAATAAAATGAAAATAAAAATTGGTGAATAGTAGTTAAAACGAAAACGCAATTCAAAATTCAAATCTAAAGTCAAATTCAGCTGACTTTTATGATTGTTATCATTATTATCAATATTGTCAAGTGGCCCCTATTATACATTCTTTTAAAGAAATGTGATTTGGTTTTATGCATCAGGTTTTATGATAACGCAATTGTATCTTGACTGTTGCATATTTTCTGAATGAAGATGTGAAAAAATCACTAAAACTATGCATGTTTCATTATAGTGAGAATGAATTCTGTTTTAACGAAGAAATGTTTATTTTACATAGTTTGGATGCGGATTCTTGACAATTTATTGTATTTGAGAACTAGGAATGCAATTATTGTAAATGCTTGTTAATTCTATCATATATGAAACTGTGGTTTAAAACTCCTTGTCCGAAAAGAAGCAGTTACTAGACATTGATTATAGTACTTTAGAACAAACATGCTATCAAAACTTTTACATTGTAAAAACTATGTAGTTCATTTACACGAGATTGATCATAATGTGATTTACTGTTCAATACACGTATTTGTTCATTTAATTCGGCTTGCTCTTGTATCTCGTCTGCATCATTTGTTAATTGAGCATGACTCATACGATAAACTGTATTACAACCATTCATTAAAGCAAATGAATTTTCAACTTCAATAATTTCGTGTTCCAATACATGTATTTCATTATCTAAAGTATCAACTTTACGCCGTGGTAATTTCTTATCTTGAGCAGCCTAACTGAATAAAGTAGGGATAGCAAAGCCAAAAAACATATTTATCTCAACTTGCTAAAAGGAGATGCACATTATGTAAAAGCACAAATCAATCATTGTAAAATGGTAAAATAATCTAGACAGTGTAAATATTGAAATCATCGAATTGGTGGTTTTTGTTTGAATTACAAACATTGCGAATGATTTGAATGAACATCATAGTCCTATGTGTCATAGCACCGAAGACGTTCAGTAATATTTATTTCAATTCAGATTGTTGCCCGGAAAAGCAGCAGCGGTGAAAGACAATGATGATAGTCTATACAATTAGTTATTTTGATAGTTCTCAGTTGTACAAACCAAAGAATGTGTTTAAGCAAATACTGTTTCCTTAAGAACTTAAGTGGTATGTTCTGAAATCGGAAAAGTGTGAAGAAGTACACACAGCTGATGAGTTCAAGAATGGACGGAACGGGAAGTATTGATTCTTTTACTACAGACTTTATTCAGTAATGTTCATAAGGTACTAAGAATTTAACATTATTCAGTACAACGATTTCGCTATTCAGTGTTCTTACTCCTCTCATGATATTATTTTATCGTAAGATAATTCGAAACGACATATTATTTTCTCGGTTAATGAAAACTAACAGATAATGTGGACAGTTTAACTAGTAGGAAATATCTTATTTAAAAAAATCTCTTCTTTATCACAGACCACGTGATCAGACTATTCATGCCAGAAAATGTTGAACGTTGATCGTCAATTGAGTGTCCTGCCTAAAACTAAATTTTGTGAATCAATACTTATGAATGGTATTCCCTCTACATGTTATGCAGGTGGAAGTTGTATTAATGTCCGGAGGCTAAGTTTCTCTAAATGGTTTAGTTTCAAATTTTTAAACTGCGAAGCGAATTGTGAACGCTCACAGACGTACGTTGATAGTAAATGGATTACTTTATATTTTGTCAATACGTCTAATATCAAGAAAACGAGGTAGATATAGTTGGAAAAAATAAACGTTGAGTAGTAATAATAGTCATACGAGATAATTAACACAGTGTTAAGCAACGAATACAATCCGTACCGCCATACTCTTGATGAAATATTAGAGGATACGACTAATCTAAAGCGAGAGATAACCGTAGACCTTGATGAAATGACCTCAATGATATTTAGGGGTGGCAGTGCATTTTTAGCAAATAAGCAGACTGAAACACTAGTTACAGTTTAGGAAGTGAATGTAACTCAATCTGACTCGCTACTAAAGTTGACCGCAGCTTCTCTGAACTAGACTTGGTCCATAGTAGGTTCTGGGTAGTTAGGGGTGGTACCTGAGTTACTGTACAGCAGTGTAGGACATTTAAACCAGGTCTCCAGATCATTCATTTTTTGTATGCCTCTCGAAGTCCATTCGGCCGGGTTCTGTGACGAGCTTACATAACTCGATTGCTCAACACTGGTATACTGGTGGACGACAGCAAGACGGTTAGCTATGTAGCTAGTGTACCGCTTTTCAGTATTCCTAATAAAGTATAATACTATCATGGAATCCGTATGAAGACTCACTCCACAGAAGAATTTGGGCAGACTTTTCTGTATAACCTCACTCAACCTTACACTCAGAACCGCTGCCGCCATTTCTAATCTCGGTATCGTAACTTGTTTGATAGGTGCTACCCTCGACTTGCTGTATAACAGAACACAGTAAGGTTGTGCCTTCGTATAGCTTACTCCAGCGTAAGCAACCGCTTTTTAGCCAATCTCTGAGGCATCACTGAATAAGCGCAACTCCACCTTCGCGTCAGTTTCGTTGATTCTATTCTTGATACCCCAGGCAACTGTGACATGACCCATCTGACGCATGAAACTTAACCAATCTAACCACGTGGACACGTATGGTTAGTCGAGAGGTTGATCCCATCCTATTTGGGACTTACATAAACGTTGCAGAAGTAGTTTAGCCGTGAGACACACTGGAGCGATCAGACCCAAAGGATCGAACACGGACGAAACAGAAGATAAGATTCCTTTCCTTGTCACTAACTTATCTGGTGCATCAAAGTGGAACATAAATACCTCTTGTTCGACATCCCATTCTATACCAAGCTTTCGATGAGTAACAGTACAATCCGCCGATATTCCTAACAATGACTCCTTATTACCTATATCCGGTAATATAGACCTCACTTCTTCTGAGTTGGTAACCCACTTTTTAAGTTAAATCCACCCCTTCGTAACAACTCGCTTATCTGCATGACAAATATTTCAGCTTGGTCACAACTCGAAAAAGATATCAGACACTCATCGACGTAAATGTTGTTCTTAACCGCATCCACAACATAACGCTTTCGACTTCCGACTGAAGTTGTATTCATGGACCTTGTGACACAATTAGACTCTGCTGAACCAAAATGTTTGACAACAGTGTCCGTCATGCAAAGGAAAACTAAGTAAACAGACCAACCCTGTAAATATCTGCTTAAACACCACTAGTCTACTTACAGACCAAAGGATATTGTCATCAGAACTGCAGCCACAATTCGTCATATTTAAAGTGTTCAACCCTTACGTATTTTAATAAATCATCCATCGACTATTGTTAAACTTTTATTGAAAATCGTATACATTCATGTAACGTTATTACTAATATATTTTCGGAGATTAGGCTTTTTCCCATGTTTTTGGGTATTGACATGTTACTGCGAGATTTGTTAGCTGACTTCGAATAACCAGATGGCTTAGTTTGCTCAGGTGAACACACAGACAAAATATAAGGTCTTCTGATTGACAACCAAACAAATAGTAGACAGATCATGATCATACAAGATGAAAGATATTCAAACGCTGCTAGTGAATGGTCAAACTTATCTTCATGAACCGTTTGGTTTTCGAACCACTGAGAAATATATGCGTTCAAGTAAGGGACACTTGATTAGTTGATGTAATAAGGGCTAACCACGGGTTCATAGATAATTAAAGAAAACAGTTGATTAAATCGTTGTATGAAATGGCCTAGAATCATCACTCTTTCTTTAATTACATCCTGAATCACAAAACTCTTCGAGATTTTTTCCTGTTTTTTTGTAGACATAATCCGTTTAAATGCTGCTCATACTGTAGTGAAGGAGAAAACAGGTTGGGGCAACCGAATTATATATAACGAAAATTACTGAGTTACTCATTAAAATAGGAAAACCATATCGTAACCGTTAATTTGCAAATCTTCAATGCATCATCAATCCATTGTCTGACATTTCACTATTCGCGCGTTTCATACAAATTCCACTGTGTTCACACTCTTCTTTTCTTTATCTTTTCCCCCATCTTCTGCTACCAGACATTACGTTTACACTTGCGTCATATACAACCTATGAGTAGCGCGCAACACAATACTGTTGCTACTACTACTCTGTAATTCACGAAATAATATAGTGGTCTATTCCATATCAGTTTACCAAATTTGAATTTATTAACGGTAAGAGTTTACGGTGATTAGAGTAATTTCAGTAGAAACTCAGAATTTGCTGGTTAGAATTTTCAACTTTAGTCCAAATAAAACGTGATAAGTTTTTTACTTACTTTTCTCAAGTTAAAAGCTAGATTTCTTGTTTCTACACCTATTGTAGGTGCCATAAATGCAGTGATTATTTTATGACTGTGTTCGAGAATTTCGAAAAGTAAAAACAGACTAGAATTCCGCTTGTTTAAAATGAACAAGCGTTTGCTCAAATTCCTGGACTGACATTCCTCCAAATAAAAAAGTGTATTTTAAACTAATTACGTCTTCGAATAGCATGCATTTTCCAGTCTGTTTGTTTATAGACTACTGAGAAGCCTGATAAGCATCAAAATTTACCGTTATGCAGCTTCCGAGCATGAATAAACGATGAGGGTTGGGCATCATTTCAGTGACCCCACCCTGTAAAACGCGAACTCACTATTAAAGTCTTAACCAGAATAAATTATTTAAAGCATTTAAACTCCTACTCTGGAGTTAGACAGTGATAAATCAGAAGACCTATCACACCTCCTGGTGAGGGTCGACCGACGTTCTTAAAAACATAGCAACAATCAATATAGTTTCTCTGCATTTTTACAATGTGCTAGACAGTCGAAAGTGCTTCAGTCGCTGCAGAAATGTATGACTACAAACTGGAGGTATTTCAAGTAGCATTCAACGCTGAATAAAGAAAAATAGTTAGCTTCAAAAGCGATGCTGTTTTACTGTTGTGATAAAGTGGAAACTACCAAATATATGCAGTGATGCGTTTCAGTGAAGCACGAAACCGCTGATAGGACGTGAGTCTCATGGACCCATGATCATCAAAGTCTGTGATTACACTGTGATCGAAACAGGTTGATTCGATGAGCAGCTGCAGTCAGTCGTCGAAACATAAACAGTGAAAAGTTTTTTCATTCGGTTGATAGACATAAACATCAAGTTCAGAACGAAAAACTGTGTACGAAGACATCATGAGACGACATGTACTGTGAAAAGAAATGAAAACGGTGACGGATTCTCAAATCGATTTACCTTCAACCAAATGGTTTTTAGAGGCAAAATATTCCCTCAGAAAGGCATAGACGAAGCCAAATTGGCCACATCTGCAAAAATAAAAATTTTAGAGAAATGAAGGAAGACGTAAGAATAGAATGAAGAGCTGACACATGTTCAACTTATCACTTGGTTCTGGCCAAGATGAAATTTAAACTCAAGAATCACTGGACAACAGGTTGGACAATATCACAAGCGTTTATTAGTGCCTTTCTTTGAAATACTGACAAACAAAAAGAATTTATGATAGCCTTCATCAACAAGATACCAGGGTTTTATGATCAACTGGATTAAAAGGAGCCTACTATAGGAAAAGGGATAAAAGCACCATAACTTCTGATATTTCATGAGGTTATGGTCCACATGAAGCATCATCACAAGAAACAGTATTGTGGTAATACTATAAATAAGACTAAAGGAGGCGAGTACAGAATGTCGGCAATCAATATCATCCAAACGACAACAGAGAAAGCCAAGACGCCAGCCAGGTTTATTGCAGTAAACAAGTAGTGCAAAGAAAACCTGAAGGTGGCAAGTGTTAAAAAGGATTGGGGATCTGGCAATGATAGAAGAAAAAGCTGCAAAAGAAGGAAATATTAGAAAATTATACCATAAAACAAAGAAATTCGCTGGCAAAATGAAGCGAAACAGAACTTTTAGTCAAGAACCAGGGAGAGGGGAAACAATCATCAAAACTCAAAAACGAGTCGAGCATTTCAAGAATTCACCATTGCTATAGTAATGCATCAATCAAATAAATCACATTCACCACTGAGCTTCAACACACTCAGCATCATTGAATAACAGAAGTCAAAACTAAGAACAGTAGCTGTACAATCAAAGAAAATTTGGAAGTCACAAAGAATGTCTTGTTTTACCAAAGTCTAAATTTCTAAACAAAATTTAGAACAATGCTATTGCTTGGAAAGGGAAATTTATAACTACAAAATCAGTCAACTGAGTGATACAGATGTTTATTGACAAATATCTACACAGGATACAGAGGATGCATTGGTGATAATCTACTGTGGAATAAAACAAACCAGATTCCGGGTGTGCAAAAATTAGGAAAAATCTCACTGAGTAATCTCATAACTGCATCACAAGATAAGCTCTAACTTAAGATCCTCACTTCCATAGGAACAGCGGATGATCTACGATCTGAATACTTTGAAAGTTGGAGATAAACATGTAAGGAATGGATGCATTCATAGAACAGGAAAAGATGACTAAGAATAAAGTGAGTAGAATAATACTGGCCAGCGGACTAAGTCTAAATAGTGGTATTAACTTAAATACGTAGGTCAACAGGAACCAGAGCTGGCATTTTGGATATTTTATAACTTCTGTATCCTTCGAATGAAAAACAGACAATGACCATAAAATTCATTTATTCAGCACATTTGATAGTGAATTTCGATTTCAACGGAGCAAGGCTGAACGTAAGCCTTAACGTAAGCACACGAGTAACACCTAAGTATCACTCAAATCTTTTTACATTAGATGTTCACTTAATAAGCACTTATTCAAACAAAGATCGCGATGTAATTTCTGATATTGTATTGACTTGAAAATTCGTAATTGTTACAAAACATTTAGCGCTCGATAAAGTGTTTACAAAATTAATTAATTCAATAACTGATGCTGAAGATTTTTGAAATTCAGCCCATTATATTTTCGATTTCTTCGAGCGGGCTGATGCCAGTTTACTGATACCGATTTCCCTGATGATTCATTGGTTCACACCTTGGATTCATAGAAAACTAGGAAATGTTTGTAGTCCACTCATGCTAGACATGAGATGAATTCAACGTCTGGCGATCGATATTAGACCTAAAATATCACAATCCGACTAAAGTTGATAATCGAAACTATCAGTTAGAAATATTATGTTAAGGATGTTAGATCTCCATATCTCGCTTGATCAATGCGCTATTTCGGATTTCACGCCTGCCACATGAGCTGATCAGTTGATCTTGAGATTGCATTTATCATCAGGACAATCCTTTGCTGTTGTTGACTGCTGTGTATTTTAGCGTGCTTTTTTGAAACTGTAGCAAGTACGTTTCAGTGATGTTGATAGACAAGAGTTATGTGCTTGGTTGCATTGTGATCGCTGATTGTTACAGAATATACTTTATACTCTTATTAACACTTCTATTTTGCAGTTTTGCGAACAAGGTAGCCTACCTGTACACTGGTTCATTGCCTCCTACGCGTTTATCGACTAAGGTAAAATAGTAGTCTTTTCAAGTGTACCTAATGACGAACCTAACATAACATTTAATTTTGCTCGATGATGAAATATGATGTGTGAGTGAATTTCGTCTTCAACATCGCTGTTTAATTAGTTTGTCCACTTTTGATTTACATTCGTGAATTTTGTTGTTCAAGTGGCTATTTTCAGTTGCAGTTATTTTGGTTTGCTTATTCAGCATGGTGTATGTAGGTTTATTTGTTCAGAATGTTAATTATGAGTTGACATCAACTCTTGAATAGCTGTTTGCAGATGATAGTTGTAAAAGGTTACCAATGAAACATGTGAACAAATTCAATAAATGTTTGACACTAAATCAGTAACGGTAAAACTATAAAATTGAAAACGATCAGTGATTCTTGTCAAAATCGATCGCTGGACTAAGTTTTATCACGGATAAAACTCTTCGCGATAATATCATTCACTGCACTGACAATTAATCATGAAATTCTTTATTAGTAGGAAAGATTTCACGTCAAGTGAAACAAGTTAAATTTGTTACTCAAAACAGCTTTGGAAAGCATTTATTTAGCGAAACATTTTACTTCGAAGAATTTCATCACATTTACCAAGTGTACCGTTGTAAAAAATCATGAAATTGTTTTCTATTTAAACAATCAAATGTTAAATGTTTCGATCAATAGAATTCTGTAAAAATTCTGTAAAATTCTGTAAAAGAATTATGACGTTCCATGATAAAAGGCCAATTTCCTTCGGAAGTCACGAGGCCGATGCTGCTTCTGACAACTAGAACGCCACCGCGATGTGAGCAGCCGAAAAGTTCCATCCGCCCTCATACCCATAAAAGCACGTGAGACCAAATTGGTCACAGTCAAATCCCTCATACCCCACACATGCACGCTGCTGTAGAGTCACACATTGGGATGAAACGGCCGTCAAGTACTTCTGTCATTCTGAAATGGGTGTTCCAATAATGTGCGCTAGTAGAACCTTTGGGGATACTGCCGGTCCTAATCCCGGATAAGGGAGGAGGGTTTAACATGGGGTTTGCGACCCCATTCCGCCGAAATCTAACTTGCCAAAAAAAACGCCAACCAGAAAAAACAATCTAAACCATTTTAAATCTGCCCTGGCAGTTGTAAGAAGAAGAATGACGTCGCGTGAAGAAAGCCGAGTTATCTCGAAAGTCACGAGGCTAATACCCCTTCTGACAAACGCAGCAAACATTCTTTTAGGTACGTGGAACGTCCGTACATTGCGGGAGACTGGAAGACTATTTCAAGTTGCGGCAGAAGTGAAAAAATACAACCTGGAGGTGCTCGGCATCAGTGTAACGCATTGGACACAGGTAGGCCAACTGAGATTAGCTTCAGGGGAACTGCTGTTTTACTCTGGTCATGAAGAGGGAAATGCTTCACATACACAAGGAGCTGCACTGATGCTGGCCGAACAAGCAGCAAAGGCGGTAATAGGATCGAAATCTCATGGACTCAATATCATTCTTCAAAATAAGGAAAGAGGAGATTACAATGAACGTGATCCAATGCTATGCACCTACCAATGACTACAATGACGACGTTAAAAATTAATTCTACGAAAGGCTGCTGTCAATCGTCGAGAAATGTTCATCAAAGGATTTGACGATTATGATGGAAGAGCTGAATGCCAAGGTTGACATGGACAACAGTGGATATGAAGACATCATGAGAGGACATGGACTGGGAGAAAGTGACGAAAACGGTGAGAGGATAGCAAACCTATGTGCCCTGAACAAACTGGTCATCGGTGGCACAATAATCCCACCAAAAACGCATTCACAAAGCTACATGGATTTCACCGGATCACAATACTCAAAATCCA